TTCGCTCCGACGAAGGGCTAACGCTCGAAACGTCAGCTTTTGTAATCATTACGGTGGCCAATTTACCATTTCAACTTTGTTGATATATCCAAATTACTTTGATATAACGAACCAGTTTCCCCAGTCTCTTGGCACTTCGTTAAATCAAGGTTCCACTGTATAAAAATAAGCACGTCACATTGTCTCCGAATATCAAAACAAAGCAAGAAACGCTTCAGAGCTCGTAGGAAACTAATTAACAAAAAAAACTGTCAACACTCAAACGTTCTGTAGGTAAGGAAACGAAATGTTATCCTTTATCGTTCATTGTAAATTCAAGAAGTAATACATTTGTGCTTTGAGCAAGACCCGGATGTTCGACAAAAGCTTCACAACTTCGAGGCCGACTAGAAGAGCTGTGGTGTCGCAATGGTATCTGGGACACACATTTGTAGTTATTTGCAAGTGTCGGTTGTAAACTATTTTTTAACTTTTTCCTGCAAAGAGGCGTATGCGCTCGAAGACCTATGCACACAAAAGATACTGCGTAGTACCTGGCTTACTAAAATGATTGCTCGTAGTTGAGAACTACGCTTAAACTTCCTGTTCTCATGAAACTTTTCATCGGATCATAATTTGTTTTCGGCTATCATGTATACTATTAGTTTTTTTGTAAAATATTTCATTTTCTGGGGCTGATTCCCTATTTAGGAAGTTGCGTGCGTGATTTAGATGTGCCTTTTAGTTACAGTATGAGTCACATTTCTCACCAGTACTGTAACAAAACGAATTGACGAAGTCAAACCTACCTTATTAGTTCTGGACGTACAGTAGCCTCGGAATCAGCTTTTGTGAAGACCAGACAGGAGAGAATTACAATAATCTAACTTTTAAGTTACAAATTATAATCCTTCACACGTTTCGCTCGCGCGTGATTGGTCTTAAGGCGTCAATTCATGATAAGATATTTCTCAATTAAGAGTAGGAAGTATATAGTATTCCCCAATGTGATTTCTAAATCTTGCAAAAAATGCAATGAAAGACTCTTTTGAGTTGATTCAAGTCAGTGGAGTGTGTAGCTGTTGTTATGTACAGAAGAGGAGAGAAGCTTTGCTCCAAATTACAGTAATCGAGTCTTTCTGAAAAGTCGACGCGACTGTTTGTTAACGTTTCGTTTCGCACGCTGCGAGTAAAAGGTTTGAAGGATAACCGACTCAGTAGCCTCCGCTTGTAGCGAAAATAAGCCCTTGCATTTCTCCCAAGATATTATTTATTCCTCAAAGCCCACTAATTTTTCGGGGAGTTCGCCTATTAACGGAGAATCCTCGTCTAACGGTACAGGTTATGTCTGCGGACAGAGATGAGGGTCTCACTGGGTTGATGGCTTTTACAACTAACGGTTAAAAGTTTGGCTATTTCACGGCCAACAGTCGGTTTCTTTCGTTTCGATATAAAGAACTTTTTACGGTTAACACTTTTTACGACTACTGATTAAAATTTGTCAATTTTTACCAGCTAGTAACTTTGTTTGCCGTTTTACCTCTAACGGTAACCTCATTAAGGTGGCTCAATAGGGTTATGAAAGATCACGAAGCGCGCGCCAGTGACATCAATCGAAAGTTAATATTCTCGTTGTTTTTGCTATTTTTCAAATCAAAGCTACTGAAACATAAAAGACAAGGGCCTAAATTTGCTTTACAACAGTCACCTCTGAAGTCAAGGCTTTTAGTCCCAAATTAAAACTATTCAAATATCGCCATTTTTTGACGTCTGTTTGACTTTGATTTCAATATTCCTCAATTTCCTTCGGTAAAATTTCTATTATTCTCCAACCGGGTAGAGTCTGACAAGACGAAACTTTTAAAATCGAAAAAAATAGGGGTTGTCAAGGTAGTTTTTTCGCTTTTAACATTTTTGTTGTTTTTTGGCTGAGCGAAAAACTTGTCTTACAAATTTTTCTGATAAATTCACAGCAAGGAAAGCTAAAAGGGTATAACATCTCTGCCAAATTTTAAGGAATTTCACCGAAGGAAATACGAGAAATCTGAGGGGGAACTTTCTATTTTCTCACCTCAATGACAACCACGTGATCAGAATAGGAACTCGCCAAGATCGCTATTTGAGCATGCGCGAACTTTCGAACCACGCGGTTTTGTCGAGAACAAGTGTGTAAACACGGGCGGTCATTATCTTTGACGTTTTTGTACAAACTGCTTTTGACCTGAAAGTCAGTTGAGAACATACCTTAATTTACTATGCCGCAGAATCCTTGGAAATCTCTTCGAAGTGTTTCAAAATTGCGGAGACTATTCTCGTCGTGTTTGTGACCCTTGGAAGCGATGAGCGACTGGACAATGGCGGTCTCGTCAAAATACACACAAGACCTTTCCGTCCAAATCGTTGGTACAAATTATTTAAATCCTCATATCTTAAGCCACTGCCAGCAATTTTTTCGGCAATGCTTTGCTTTATTGGGCTATCCGCATGACCTGGGTTGTACAGCTTTCCTCGAAAAGACAAGAGTCTCTAATGACGGTTGTCAAGATATTTCAGGTCTTCGGCGGCGTCCTTGACAGAGATTACAGAACTTCTGTTCACCAGCATTTCATCAGACAAAGCCAACCTAGGCGAAAGCAAGATTCTTCGAAGAGCGATCACGTCCTCTAGGGCGTCGTGGGCATCAAAGGTGGTTTGAAATAAATGTTCGTAAACAGAACTCTGCCCAGGCTTTGGAAATTTACCTTCTGCGTTTTGGATGGAAGAGTGCTTGCTTTTGATGAGTGATTTCATCAGTGTCAGAGTGTCTGCAAACCGGATGGAACTGATGGAACTGAGCTCCGCGATAAAATTTTCGCCACCGTTTCGAAGAAGTATTGGAATATCAAATGTGGCGGCGTTGTGTCCAGCCAAGATTGTGCAAACAGGCTTTGTGGATCGTGTTGAAGCTGAATCTAT